AAAATAGCTAAAAAAAAAAAAAGGTAAATATATGTCTTAAAAATTATCAAGTATAAAATTCATGAAAAAAAAACCAGGCAAAACCAACTGAAGAGTTGGCAGTCTCACTCTAACGCTAATCCACTTGTTCTTATTTTCCTTTATGGTCAAAACATAGTTCCTGCCTGAGAGACCATTGGCCATAAAGACGTCTCCTCGGTTTTCTTCTGAAACACTCATTTGAAGCTCTTGTGTCTCTTTCACGGTTGCCAAGCTTCAGTTTCCATTCATTGACAAGAGGCTTCAGTGAGGTTTTGAAATGCATTTGACTTAATCACAGTAGTGCCTCAGCATTTGGAAAGTCGTAGCATACTTTCTGTCCATGTAAAAGCCATACTATGTAGTGTCCACAAGCCTACAGCCCTTGGTAGGGGCTCCCCAAGACTTTGCAGCCACACTCCTGACAGTTGTCAGGGTTCCCTGTCACCTTTGCTGACATCAGAAGATGTCCCTGTCTGTTAATCCTCAGTTAAAAAAAAACAAAGCTGTGCCGCAGAGATCCTATGGTAGCACAGTTGGAAAATGGGCTCTCCTCCCTGGAAGAGCTCTGGGTCCAGCATATTTCTGTATCCTGATGCCTTTTGGTGTGTGAAATGTTGCAGATAGTTCAGAGGGGAAAGGGTATCGAGATGCCTTTATTCCAGAAGCAGCCCTCGAGCTATCAGCCAGGTAGATGGACCACCGGTGATTGAAGATTTCTCTTGAAATTGACTTTAGCCTCACGGAGCAGTAAAGTGAAGCCTGTCCGTTCTTCTGCACTGTTGGCAGGAGACAGACTGCCGTGGCCTCTTCAGAGAGCAATCTGGCAGCATCTGTCAAAAGTTAAATTGTGCCAGGTAGTCACTGGGAATACAGTGTGCTGTGTCAGATGCATGCCCAGGAGTAGAACAGCATGAACTGGCTCCTCCACTCCTGTCTGTTGGACACACACACACCCCACTGTAAATTACAATATTGGGAATAGATATCCAGGTATAGAGGAATGACTAGATTACAGCACATCTGTACGATGCACTGTTGTAGAGCTGTTATAAGAAGCAGCAGCTCTCTGTGTGCTGTGAGGGAACTGTCTCTGAGATGGGTATTAAGTGGAAATAGCAAAGGGTTTGCTCTACCTGTGCTGGGTGGGCCGTGTAATACCTGAGAATGTCTGCATGCCTGTCTCTGAAGGCTGCACAGAGTGGACTCTGCCAGAAGACCCAGAATAGGCCCGTTGACTGGGACTTTTCTGAGCATGCAAATGTTATTTGGTCAGGATGTTTTCAGTGTCATGTTTGTGACTGAAGAGTGTTTACGTGATGCTCTGTGGGGTTTGAGTACTTTGTAGAAAAACCAGTGACTTCTGAGAAATTCTGGGGTTTCTGGTGCCGGAGCAGTGTTGACGTCTTCACTTTGACACGGGCCTTGTGGCAGTGCAGCATCAGATGAAGCTGGGTCAGAGTGGTCAGGAACTCTACCAGTCATCTTTGTAATCTTCCTGCCAGTCATTCCAAAGTGAAATATTAACCTTTGTTCTACTTGAGTGAAACCTGTCATATTGCATTGGCAAAATTATGTGTGAGAACAGATCTAGGAAACTGAGGCTCATTCCCTCCCCTTTTCTCTTACCTTGGTTCAGGTCGAAGAATTCCATCCACTGACACCAACCCGCCATCTGGCGGCAAGGGTTTTAAACTCCGGAGACAGCCGTCAGAGCCTAAGCGAAGCTGCTGCTGACGAGTCAGGGCCCCTCAGGCCCCATGATGAAGTAGGTGGTCCTGATTGTTCACAGGAGGGCCCGGGGCCCTGTTACTGCTGGCCACCTGGCACTTTCTTTGTGCAAAAAGCACTCTGAGAAACTGGCCTGTTCCGCTCTCTCTGAAGACTGCAGCGAGGGCATGGTAGTCTGCAGCCTTCTGCCATCAAGACTGGTGTAAAAAGGGACCCTGTCGTGTCTTTAGCTGTTGACCTTGTGGGATGATAGGATTAAATTGCTGAGTAGTTTTGTAATCAGGATTTCATGGAACATTTGTAAAGGGAAAATTAGCACTTTCATGGTTCTTGAAGAGGAGAAAAAGTCTTTGTGGAGATGATCCTTCCTTCCTTGGACCCCATTGCCACTGTTAGAGTTGCATCATTTAAGATGTGGTAAGCAGTCACAACTGGGGATATGGCAATTCTTACTTAAAGCTAAGATGGGTCATTCCCAGGACGACTTCCTGTCTGCCATCTCAGAGGACTGTATTGGCCTCAGACACTCCCAGAAAGCTGATGCCACAGCACCGTGGCCTGCTTCTCCTTGGGGTTTCTGGTCCTGTGCGTTTCACCACCACAATATTGGCACCTTTCTAAATAAGCTGTCATGATCCAGGTAATGTGGCAGAGAAGCCATCTGGAGCCCATTGAATTGCATGTGTTCTAAGCCAACTCACAGTGGTTTCAAAGGAGGAAGGGAAAGAAAACAGTGTGTGTCCATTTTATTTAACCCAAGTGTTTTGATGGAAAAAGCAAGTATCTGCTGTTTAGCATATGTAAATTTGTAGTCTATATTTATGAGACCATTGCTTACAGATTATAAATTATGTAAATACATTAATAACTTCTAAACTCTATTCAGTACTCCATTGACCCTGAGCCCAGTCTTGGGTATCCCCACCTTCCGCTTTCCAGCCTGTCCATGGGGATATTCTGAAGCCTGTTTAGGCCATGCAGGGACTGGGAGCACTTAGCTTATGACTTCCCTCCGCCTGCCCCTCCCTTCTGCATCCCATCTGGAAAGGATCATAAAGACATTCAAGCCTGACTAGCCCTTCGTAGCCTGGGGCAAGAGAGTAAGCCCCAAGCACAAGTCATTGACCTGGCCTTGGCAATAAGTCTCTTCAGCTTCCATGGCCACCTCAGACCTACTGTTTTTTGTTTGTTTGTTTGGTTGGTTGGTTGGTTGGTCTTTTTGAGACAGGGTCTCCCTGTAGCCCTAGCTGTCCTGGAACTCACTATGTAGACCAGGCTGGCCTCAAACTCACAGAGATCCGCCCGCGTCTGCCTCCTGAGTGCTGGGATTAAAGGCATGCGCCACCACACCTGGCTAGACCTACTGTTTTAAGAGCGCTTTCCTTCTTAACAGCATAGCTTCTCTCTCCCTTTATTTTCTCCTGCCTCTGTTAGTGGTTAACACTCTTTTTTTTCCCCTAAGGGAGCCTAATGAGGTTTTTAATATGATCTAAGAATAAACGCTGATGTGAAGTTGGTGAAAATTTGTTCCTGGTCTAGTCTGGCACCCTTCCAACTTCAGTATTGTAAGGGAAGGAAACTTACAAGATCAAATAGGAAATGAAACAGCTTGAATTTCAAACGAAATTGTGTTTTTGAGCTGTTCTTAACTGAAGAGTCAAAACTTTAAAAAAAAAAATTTGTTACTCCCCCCTCACACCCCC